TGAATTATTGATTATTTTAAAATGACCATAACTCCGTAAATATTGAGTTTTCGGCGTTTTTAGCTATTATTTGCGATCACTTTTTCAAACATGAATTATTGATTATTTTAAAATGGCCATAACTCCGTAAATGTTGAGTTTTCGGCGTTTTTAGCTATTATTTGTGATCAGTTTTTGAAGCATGAATTTTTGAATATTTTAAAATGGCCATAACTCCGTAAATATTGAGTTTTCGGTGTTTTTAGCTATTATTTGTGATCACTTTTTCAGGCATGAATTATTGAATATTTTAAAATGGCCATAACTCCGTAAATATTGAGTTTTCGGCGGTTTTAGCTATTATTTGTGATCACTTGTTCAAACATGAATTATTGAATATTATAAAATGGCCATAACTCCGTAAATATTGAGTTTTCGGCGTTTTTAGCTATTATTTGTGATCACTTTTTCAAACATGAATTATTGATTATTTTAAAATGGCCATAACTCCGTAAATATTGAGTTTTCGGCGTTTTTAGCTATTATTTGTGATCAGTTTTTGAAGCATGAATTTTTGAATATTTTAAAATGGCCATAACTCCGTAAATATTGAGTTTTCGGCGTTTTTAGCTATTATTTGTGATCACTTTTTCAAACATGAATTATTGATTATTTTAAAATGGCCATAACTCCGCAAATATTGAGTTGTCGGCGTTTTTAGCTATTATTTGTGATCAGTTTTTGAAGCATGAATTTTTGAATATTTTAAAATGGCCATAACTCCGTAAATATTGAGTTTTCGGCGTTTTTAGCTATTATTTGTGATCACTTTTTCAAACATGAATTATTGATTATTTTAAAATGGCCATAACTCCGTAAATATTGAGTTTTCGGCGTTTTTAGCTATTATTTGTGATCAGTTTTTGAAGCATGAATTTTTGAATATTTTAAAATGGCCATAACTCCGTAAATATTGAGTTTTCGGCGTTTTTAGCTATTATTTGTGATCACTTTTTCAAACATGAATTATTGATTATTTTAAAATGGCCATAACTCCGCAAATATTGAGTTGTCGGCGTTTTTAGCTATTATTTGTGATCAGTTTTTGAAGCATGAATTTTTGAATATTTTAAAATGGCCATAACTCCGTAAATATTGAGTTTTCGGCGTTTTTAGCTATTATTTGTGATCACTTTTTCAAGCATGAATTATTGAATATTTTAAAATGGGCATAACTCCGTAAATATTAGATTTTCGGCGTTTTTAGCTATTGTTTGTGATCACTTTTTTAGGCATGAATTATTGAACATTTTAAAATGGCCATAACTCCGTAAATATTGAGTTTTCGGCGTTTTTAGCTATTATTTGTGATCACTTTTTCAAACATGAATTATTGATTATTTTAAAATGGCCATAACTCCGTAAATATTGAGTTTTCGGCGTTTTTAGCTATTATTTGTGATCAGTTTTTGAAGCATGAATTATTGAATATTTTAAAATGGCCATAACTCCGTAAATATTGAGTTTTCGGCGTTTTTAGCTATTATTTGATAACTTTTTCAGGCATGAATTATTGAATATTTTAAAATGGCCATAACTCGGTAAATATTGAGTTTTCGGCGTTTTTAGCTATTATTTGTGATCACTTTTCCAAGCATGAATTTTTGAATATTTTAAAATGGTCATAACCCCGTAAATATTGAGTTTTCGGCGTTTTTAGCTATTATTTGTGATCACTTTTCCAAGCATGAATTTTTGAATATTTTAAAATGGCCATAACCCCGTAAATATTGAGTTTTCGGCGTTTTTATCTTTTATTTGTGATCACTTTTTCAACCATGAATTTTTGAATATTTTAAAATGGCCATAACTCCGTAAATATTGAGTTTTCGGCGTTTTTAGCTATTGTTTGTGATCACTTTTTTAGGCATGAATTATTGAATATTTTAAAATGGCCATAACTCCGTAAATATTGAGTTTTCGGCGTTTTTAGCTATTATTTGTGATCACTTTTTCAAACATGAATTATTGAACATTTTAAAATTGCCATAACTCGGTAAATATTGAGTTTTCGGCGTTTTTAGTATTATTTGTGATCACTTTTTCAAGCATGAATTATTGAATATTTTAAAATGGTCATAACTCCGTAAATATTGAGTTTTCGCCGTTATTATCTTTTATTTGTGATCACTTTTTCAACCATGAATTTTTGAATATTTTAAAATGGCCATATCTCGGTAAATATTGAGTTTTCGGCGTTTTTAGCTATTATTTGTAATCACTTTTTCAAGCATGAATTATCGAATATTTTAAAATGGCCACATCTCCGTAAATATTGAGTTTTCGGCGTTTTTAGCTATTGTTTGTGATCACTTTTTTAGGCATGAATTATTGAATATTTTAAAATGGCCATAACTCCGTAAATATTGAGTTTTCGGCGTTTTTAGCTATTATTTGTGATCACTTTTTTAAGCATGAATTATTGAATATTTTAAAATGGCCATAACTCCGTAAATATTGAGTTTTCGGCGTTTTTAGCTATTATTTGTGATCACTTTTTCAGGCATGAATTATTAAATATTTTAAAATGGCCACAACTCCGTAAATATTGAGTTTTCGGCGTTTTTAGCTATTATTTGTGATGAATTATTGAATATTTTAAAATGGCCATAACTCCGTAAATATTGAGTTTTCGGCGTTTTTAGTTATTATTTGTGATGAATTATTGAATATTTTAAAATGGCCATAACTCCGTAAATATTGAGTTTTCGGCGTTTTTAGCTATTATTTGTGATCACTTTTTCAACAATGAATTATTGAATATATTAAAATGGCCATAACTCCGTAAATATTGAGTTTTCGGCGTTTTTAGCTATTATTTGTGATCACTTTTTCAAACATGAATTATTGAATATTTTAAAATGGCCATAACTCCGTAAATATTGAGTTTTCGGCGTTTTTAGTTATTATTTGTGATGAATTAGTGAATATTTTAAAATGGCCATAACTCCGTAAATATTCAGTTTTCGGCGTTTTTAGCTATGATTTGTGATCACTTTTTCAAGCATGAATTATTGAATATTTTAAAATGGCCATAACTCCGTAAATATTGAGTTTTCGGCGTTTTTAGCTATGATTTGTGATCACTTTTTCAAGCATGAATTATTGAATATTTTAAAATGGCCATAACTCCGTAAATATTGAGATTTCTGCGTTTTTGGCTATTATTTGTGATCACTTTTTCAAGCATGAATTATTGAATATATTAAAATGGCCATAACTCCGTAAATATTGAGTTTTCGGCGTTTTTAGCTATTATTTGTGATCACTTTTTCAAGCATGAATTATTGAATAGTTTAAAATGGCCATAACTCCGTAAATATTGAGTTTTCGGCGTTTTTAGCTATTATTTTTGATCACTTTTAAGCATGAATTATTGAATATTTTAAAATGTCCATAACTCCGTAAATATTGAGTTTTCGGCGTTTTTAGCTATTATTTGATAACTTTTTCAGGCATGAATTATTGAATATTTTAAAATGGCCATAACTCCGTAAATATTGAGTTTTCGGCGTTTTTAGTTATTATTTGTGATGAATTAGTGAATATTTTAAAATGGCCATAACTCCGTAAATATTCAGTTTTCGGCGTTTTTATCTATTATTTGTGATCACTTTTTCAAGCATGAATTATTGAATATTTTAAAATGGCCATAACTCCGTAAATATTGAGTTTTCGGCGTTTTTAGCTATGATTTGTGATCACTTTTTCAAGCATGAATTATTGAATATTTTAAAATGGCCATAACTCCGTAAATATTGAGATTTCTGCGTTTTTGGCTATTATTTGTGATCACTTTTTCAAGCATGAATTATTGAATATTTTAAAATGTCCATAACTCCGTAAATATTGAGTTTTCGGCGTTTTTAGCTATTATTTGATAACTTTTTCAGGCATGAATTATTGAATATTTTAAAATGGCCATAACTCCGTAAATATTGAGTTTTCGGCGTTTTTAGTTATTATTTGTGATGAATTAGTGAATATTTTAAAATGGCCATAACTCCGTAAATATTCAGTTTTCGGCGTTTTTATCTATTATTTGTGATCACTTTTTCAAGCATGAATTATTGAATATTTTAAAATGGCCATAACTCCGTAAATATTGAGTTTTCGGCGTTTTTAGCTATGATTTGTGATCACTTTTTCAAGCATGAATTATTGAATATTTTAAAATGGCCATAACTCCGTAAATATTGAGATTTCTGCGTTTTTGGCTATTATTTGTGATCACTTTTTCAAGCATGAATTATTGAATATTTTAAAATGGCCATAACTCCGTAAATATTGAGTTTTCGGCGTTTTTAGCTATTATTTGTGATCACTTTTTTAAGCATGAATTATTGAATATTTTAAAATGGCCATAACTCCGTAAATATTGAGTTTTCGGAGTTTTTGGCTATTATTTGTGATCACTTTTTCAAGCATGAATTATTGAATATTTTAAAATGACCATAACTCCGTAAATATTGAGTTTTCGGCATTTTTAGCTTGTATTTGTGATCACTTTTTCAAGCATTAATTATTGAATATTTTAAAGTGGCCATAACTCCTTAAATATTGAGTTTTCGGCGCCTGCTACGCCAACTGGCCTGATAGTCGCTGAAAGATATATTCTGCGGCTGTTATATCTCTGTGGTATACAAAATCCTAAATCTTGTATAAGGCAGAGCGATAGAGTTGTCCTTGAGAAATAAATCCTTATATTAAGTTTCTCGTGATTTCGAATAATACAAAAAAAAACCTTTTTAAAGGTGTCTTGAAGGCTTTAGATACTTTAGGATGCAAAGGACAAATCTTCGATTGTTAATAAACTGCATTTTTTCCAAATGGCACAAATCTTCCACGTAAATAATTGGTATTTTCTTCCCAACAATTTCTATAGACAGCTTTGTAAGCTTTTTCCTATCCAATTCACGTTTTAATTCCTAGTATTACAAACTAATTTAAACACCCTAATATTATGTATTTGCTCAATGTGAATCTTTTATTGCAACATTATCTATAAATATTTACTGTTATAGAATTTTATTGCTTTTCAGAAATTTAATTTCTATTGTTGCCATTCTGGTTTTGGCTTCCCCTGTTGTTGTTTGGTCTCCTTCCAGGTCGTCTTCCTGGTCTGCTGCCTGGTCTCCTGCCGGGTCTCCTGCCTGGCCTCCTTCCTGGTCTCCTGCCAGGTCTTCTGCCAGGTCTTCTGCCAGGTCTCCTGCCTGGTCTTCTTGAGGGTCGCCTTGAAGGTCTTCTGAAAGGTCTCCTTAGAGGTCTCCTTGCAGGCCTTCTTGCAGGTCTTCTAGGTGGAGTTGCTGGGCTAGGAGGTGGGCTAGCTGGAGGTGTGCCGTCTGGCGGTGTGCCGTCTGGAGGTGTGCCATCTGGGGGTGTGCCATCTGGGGGTGTGCCATCTGGGGGTGTACCAGCTGGAGGTGTGCCGTCTGGAGGTGTACCAGCTGGAGGTGTGCCGTCTGGGGGTGTACCGGCTGGAGGTGTGCCGTCTGGGGGTGTACCGGCTGGAGGTGTACCATCTGGAGGTGTACCATCTGGAGGTGTATCATCAGGAGGTGTATCATCAGGAGGTGTATCATCAGGAGGTGTATCATCAGGAGGTGTATCATCTGGAGGTGTATCATCAGGAGGTGTATCATCAGGAGGTGTATCATCAGGAGGTGTATCATCAGGAGGTTGACTGGTTGTGGGTGTACCATCTGGAGGTTGACTGGTTGTGGGTGTTGTTGGAGAGGTTGGATTCGTTGGAGTCGTTGCACCCACTCCCAAGACCAACAATATGGCCAAACAGATAATTGTTATCAATTTCATCTTAGCGGCCAAAGTTGCTTAAAAATTTCTGATTAAATTTTTAAGAACTGAAAATGGTAATTGATAGTAAATTATTTGGATGAAGTCGATATTTATACTGAATTTCTATTAAATCGTTTTGAATGCACAGGAAGTTATACATTATACGTTTATATTATTGAACGATAACAGCTCAAGAAGTTCTAATATTTATTTATAAATACTTTTAAAGTCAGGCTAAAAAAAAAACATCTATTCAATAGATCATCTGTGAGTAAATACTAGGAATTCTATATTTGTTGATTATTTGCTCTACAGCACTGAGAATATAATAAGACATATTTTATTAGATCTCCAGTACAGAAAACCAAGTTGTTTGATTGCAAACAAGATTGTATCGGCGAATTTGTTATTTCTCATTGACCCAAAAAAATACGCGTGGCCGATTTTTTTTTCCTTTTTTTCACCACACCTTATGTTTTCAAAACGAAGGACAGAATTATCACACTCGTTGTGTTTGAGTAATATTTTTATAAACTTCATTATTTCATTTCATTTAGGATTTCTAAAAACATACCGCAGATGAAACAATAACGTGAATCAATATTAGACCAGCTTTGCCAAGTTATTTCATAGCACTTCAAAATTCTGAAGTTAAATTAAGAAATACTAAATTGTTAAAAAAAATCACCAATTGTGCCGATAATATTCAATAAGGAGTATTTTTCGTCACCCTTTTCACGAACATGCAATGGAAACAAAGCATTTTTTTTATAGAAAGTCGTTTCCTCAACCATTTTAGGTGAGATCGTCAATTGGGTTCGAACAAAATTTTTTTGTGTGAGAGTTTTTCTTTTTAAACAACTCCTGTAGATTGGTGATTTTCCCTGCCTTACTCGTTCCGAAAAATGTTCCATTTTCCTACTAATAAATCCAACATGAGGTCAAGAATAGCTCGGGATTCAAGCTGCATAATCTGCAAATGCCAGTGAAATCGGTTGGTTCATGTTCGGTTTTATGGTTGCTGTACCATAACATGAATCCAACACCGAATTCTTAAGAAGTCCAATGGAAAATTTTAATTAAATCCAGAAAATACTGTAGCGTTGCATTGGGAACTATAGCAAAACGTGGGTGCAAAACAGGTGTCCGGACATAATCCCCGCGGACATAATCTCCATTGCAGTTATGGGAGCTATGCCCGATTATACCCCACATCACATAGTGGTAAGGTTACTATGTCTTTCTGCATTTGTTTGTAACATTGATAAGAAAGCGAGATAAACCCATAATTCCTTTTGAGGAACTTAATAGAATCACTTTCCCAGTCGGTTTATTCATGTCAGTCCGTCTGTCCGTCCGTACGACTGTCCATAAAGTTTTGTGAACAAAATTCAGGTCGCATTTATAATCCGATTAAGGTGAAATTTTGCAAACAATATTTGTTTCGTCCTTGGTGAGAATAGGTACAAATTTAGATATAGCTCCTATATATATATCTTCAATCGATTTCAAGTTAATTGTGCACCAAATAGAAAATAGTAGTTCAAATGAACTGAATTTTGCCAAATCCGCCCAAATAAAATCTAGAAGCAAATACATCAAATTTGGAGAAAATCGGTTCAGATATAGCTATAGGTCCCATATGAGGTGTGATAAAAAAAACTACAATCAAATTCAGTCTGCTGTCATTTCTAAGCCGCTCGTCCGACAGCTGTTAAAATTATTCCAGTGACAGCTCAATATATTGTTTACAAGCGTACAAAAGCATTTTGATGGAATTCAAGCGTGATAGTGAGATTTCTTTATAGCCACAAGTGGCTATCATTAGAGCACTCCAGCATTTAAATGGGAATAAATCTTTTGTATCTCGTACCTTTTTGTATCGGGGTAAATCCACTGAAATTCCAAAAAGCGCAAGAAGTTACACCGCAAGGGGAAAAAATATACTCAAAAGAGCTTGGGCACGCAAACATTTTGGCCGCAGACCTTGGACATTCAAACAGGACTCAGCACCATCGCACTCAGCACGCGCCACCCAAGAATAGTTACTAAATGAGGTTCCTCGCTTCATTTCCAGTGCACAATAGCCATCAAAATCTCTGTATACCAATCCGGAATATTTTGCAGTCTGGAGTATTTTGGAAAGCAAGGTTGGTACTAAATAATACCGAAGTGTAGATCACCTCAAGCAAGCGCTTCGCTGGGAATAGACCAAAATACAGCAGAGCTACATTCGGGAAGCGTGTGACAGTTTCATTGGCCGTTTGAAGGCTATAATTCGTGCCAAAGGTGACCAATTCGAACAAATCTAAACTTATTCTAAAATTTGATGCTATTTCCGACAATAAATAAAGTTTAAAAAAATGTAAAAATGTTTTTTGTTATCCCACCCTGTATGGGTGCTATATCTCTATTTGAACCGATTCTCACTAATTTCAAATTTTCCTGAATAAAAAGATATTGTTTGGAAAATGTCGTATTAATCTGATAATAAATGCGACCTACATTTTGTTCACAAAATACATAAGTCGACACGTACCAGAAGAAATGGTCCGATATCTACCATTTTTATACCAGATCTTGTGTTGATGGAAATATTGAGATGTACCAAGTCTCGGATGATAATTTCGCGTTTTATGAGCTTCATGGGAGAGTTACCAGAACGAGTGGACCAGTATATCCCATCTCCACGGCAGATCTGGTGTTTGTGGAAATAATGGGATGTGTGAAATCTGAAGAGAACCGGGTGCTTATTTTGGATTTTATAATCGTTTTGGTTATTCAAAACTTTGACCCTTTATGCGGAAGATGGGCCGATTTTGCCCATCTTCGAACTCGATCTAAGATTGGCAATACAATTACGATATACCAATCCTTCAGATACTCTCTTTGAGAGTAATCGTGCGCACTCGCCAGACAGACGGACGGACGAACATCGCTAGATCGACTCCAAATTTCCTGAAACGGATTTGGTCCAAAGAGACCTATGATCTAATGTACACTTTGGCCGTATTAAATGATATATACCCTCTCCAGCCATATGGCTGAGGGCATAAAAATACTTCAAATCTATTATCTTTCTTTTGTTACCTAATCTTACTATTCTTATTGTTTATACCTAAAAATTACTTGTAATTATTAGAAACCGCTAGCCTTTATCCTCTCAATCGCAATCGTAAATCATATGTTGTGAGAAAAGAACACACACGCACACGTGCACATAATTTTCTTGATCACTGTAGTACTGCTCTAATCACCACCGACCAGGTGACATTATCCTCCTCTATGGGAGATGTGTAAAATAATCTGATGGCGTTATATTGCCTATGAGCCTGCTTGTTACCTGTTGCTTTCGGCTCCTATTCTAGGTAGACTTGAAGGTTATTTGGTAACATGAGGGTAAGACAATAACAACAAACATACGCACATACATACAAATTGAACATAATCTGTATATTGACCTTTTTTTGTCGTGCATTCTGTTTTCGATGAGATTGGAGGAGGAGGGTTTTTCCTTTTCATTTAAGAATGACCGAGCAGGACACTTTTCAATTTAGTGCTGTGACAATCTTCAACACAACAACATCAATTCGGTCTTTCCTTTATTTGCTTGTCTTAATTCTTATTGTGATAGAGTGTTTCTGGGCGTGTGTGTGTCTGTGTTGATTTCTTGGATTTTAGCTGCTAATTGTTGTTTTGGATACACAACAGAGGGTCGGTGATTGAAAATGTTCCTTACAAACTTATCTACTGCCATGGCTGTGTGGTGTTCGGTGGCTGTGGCACTGATTTGTCCCATCATTACCCTGGCCAATGCTGATGGCTGCAATGAGTTTGTGTGTGGCTCTGTGGTATCCAAGTGCCTCTTGACACAGAGTTGTCAATGCAAACTTTCCGATTGCTTCTGCTGCAAGGACTGTCTTAATTGTTTGGGGGAATTGTATACGGAGTGTTGCAGTTGCTTGGATATGTGTCCCAAACACAATGACACATTAAGTGCACTGGCGCCCAAGTCGCAAATTGGTGACTTTGAGGGGGTGCCCGAGTATTTTGATGCTCTAACCGCCGTGGAAGATGAAAATCAATGGACTACAATACGTTTTCCCATGCGCAATAGTTTGCAGCGCCACTACAACATGGCCACCGGTACATTTGGCTTTGGCTCACCACCATATGGCTCGGGAGATGCTGGCCAAGAGACCTCCTTGCAGAATATACCCACCACAGTTAATTGCACAGTGATATTCTTGAATAATTGCATGAACAATAAAAAATGTTCTGATTATTGTGAAAGTATGGTAAGTGTCCTGTGCGGCGAAAAGAAAAAAAATAATAGAAAATAAAATAGCAGGAGCCTGTGGTCCCTGGCGCCAACCAACCAAAAGGATTTGTATTAATTTCTTCTCTTTGCATTTCAGGGTTCCAACAGCTATCGCTGGTTTCATGACGGCTGCTGTGAGTGCGTCGGTTCCAATTGTTACAACTATGGCATCAATGAAAGCCGCTGCTCTGCCTGTCCCGAGGACGAAGATGACGAAGAGATGTTCGATGTTGACAGCATGGATGATGCGGCTGATTATGCTGGAGAAAATGACGAATACATGCCATGGGATTATGGGGAAGAGGAACTGAATTATAATTAAATTTCTGTAATTTATTTGTTCGACCATGCGTTTGGGGGGGCGCAATATGCGTATGTGTGTGTGTGTGTCATATACATCTTCATAGCGTGTTATTATTATTTAGGTTAAGTATATTTTTGCAAAAAGTTAAACTGCCAGTGATATTTATTATTGTATGTGTATATATTAGAATATTAGTTTTAAGTTAGAGGACATTTTTCAGGGGAATAAAGAGAAAACAAAATGAAAATATTTGTTAATAGAACACATACAGAGAACATTTTTCATTTGTATACCCTATTATAAGTTTAATTAGGCCAAAAATTATGTAACACCTCGGAATATTGGTCCATGATATAGGAAACTTCATATGGAGCTTCCTATTTCGCCGAGCTGAGTCGATCTAGCTATGTATGTCCGCCCATCCGTCTGTCCATGTTAATTTGTAATCAGGTCGCAATTGTGGTCCGATCTTCACGAAATTTAGAATGGAGGTGGGGTTAGGGTCAGAATAGAAGCCAATTTTTTTGGAGATGATCGCAAAATATTTAGGTATTGAAATGGACTAAAAACAGAAAATAATCTTGATTTTGCTGTTTTTCTACAGGCCACAATTATAAACCATTCGCCGCGGAATTATACATGGTGTAAGACGGACGAACGTAGAGTTTAGGGCGTGGTAGAAGCCTTCCAATTTGAAAAATATTTAGCGGCCAAATAACAAATACTTTTAAAGGTCACTTCCTACCTTTGCAGTGGTGTTAATAGCCAAGATATCGGATATACATATAGCAAAATAGGCACAATGTATATATAAAAGAAATGGATCTTAGTTAATCTAAGATCCGAGGGACTGATTTTCACAATTCTCATGATTTTCACAATTCTCTCATGGTCTCTGGCCCGAAAAGGATAAAATCTAAAAAAAATCGGGTATATATATAGCAATAAAAAAATAATATTTTTGTTACATTTTTTTCAACTATTGTCATATTTTTTTATCGCATGCGATTTTAATACCCTACAACTCTATGTGTTGGGGGTATTATACGTTTGATTGGGCCAACAATTATGTAACACCTCGAAATATTGGTTTCCCACATAGGAAAGTACATATGGATCTCCCTAGCTCGCCGAGCTGAGTTGATCTAGCTATGTATGTCCGTCCGTCCGTCCATGTTAATTTGTAATCAAGCTACAGGTCAAAATTATGAACCGATCCTCACGAAATTGAAAATGGAGGTGGGCTTATGGTCAGAATAGAACCCTATTGTTTTTGGAGATAATCGCACGAAATGGACCAAGAACAGAAAATTTTCCTTCTTTTGCAGTTGCTCTATAAGCCAAAATTATGAACCAATCGACGAGAAAATTTACATGCAGTTAGAGTTTAGGAGTGGGCAGAAACCTACCAATTTAGGCGGTCATCGGACAATAATTAGTGGGTGAAATAGACCCTAACTTTTATGTAAGAAAATATGAAAATGTCCACTAAACCGCGAATATTTTCAATCCCAGCCAAATCACAAATACATTAAAAGATCACTTCTGACCATTACAGTGATGCTAATAGCCATGAAATCGGCTATATAGCAAAATATAGCAAAAAAAAATATTTATGTTAAAGAATTGATCTTTTTTCTTCTGCTTATAAATCAAGAACCGCTGAGCCGATTTTCACAATTCCCATCAATTCGGAATGGTCTCTTGCCAGAAAAGGATAAAATCTAAAAAAAAATCGCGGGATAATATACCAATAAAAAAGTTATATCTTTTGTTCCATTGTTGTCATATTTTTTATCGCATGCGATTTTTTCAATTTGACTTACAATTTTAAATTTTCTAAATTTTTACACCCCCAACACTACGTTTTGAGGGTATTATATGTATGGCGCAATTATCGTCCGATCCTAACGAAATTTTGCATGGGGTCGGAATTGAAGCCTATTGTTCTTAGGATGTGCATTTAGAGGTTTAAATGACTAAAAAAAAAAATAAATTTTTCTAATTTTGTAGTCGTTCTATAGGCCACAATTGAAAACTAATCGACACGGAATTTCACATAAAAGAGAGTTGAGGGCAGAGAAGAAGTCTAGCATTTTGTATGACCATTGGATTATATTTAGCTGTAAAATGGACCACAACTTTCGTGTGCAATTGTTTTGAATACTTCACAACATATAAATTGTAAATATTGGCCAAATTCTCCGGGTCAAAAACCTAAGAGTAACCTCTGGGCAGCGCTCTTTGGCATTATTTCAAAAACGAAATCTTCCAAAATGGATTTGGATATAAAGGGATTTGGTCATATTGTAGTGTTGTAGGGTATCACATGATCGGCCCCGCACGACTATAGCCTTTGCTTACTTGTTTCAATTTGACTTATTATTTTGAAGTGTATATTTTGTAATATTTTTTCACCGTACAACCCAGGTTGTAACCCTACCTTACAAGGGTAGGGTTAAGCTCAGAAGGGCTAGGTCTAATGTTTTCAAAGATATATTTAGGAGTTGAAATGGACCAACAACAAATATGTTCCTGATTTCCAGCCGTTATAAAGGTCACAAATAGAAACCAAAGCGGGTAGAATGGACCACCACTTTTGTGCGATTTCGTTGACTAATATAGCCAAATATCGTAGACAAGCACATCATATAGATGAACCTAAATTTGGACATACAGAGGCGTCCCTTGCTTTTCGAGATGATCGCAAAATATTTAGGGGTTCAAATGAACCCAAAACTGAAAAAATGTCCTGATCACACTATTGAAGTCAATCGACATGCCTGAGAAAAGAGTTAAGGACAGGTGAGAATTCTAGATGAGAATTTTGGATGACTATTGGATTCTATTTAGCTGCGGCACGACGGAGTGCGTAAATATTGGACAAATGTCCCTGGTCAAAATGCTAAGGCAATGCTCTATGACATAATGTCAAATCCGAAATCTACCAAATGCATGTGGACATAAAGGGGCTTCTAACATATTGTAGTGTTGTAGGGTATCACATGGTCGACCCCGCACGGCTATAGCCTTTGTTAGTTCTACTTTCATAATTTTAGTTCTACTTTTTTTCCGTAATTGTTTTGTGTGTTGCTCAGTGTAATTTTTCAAAAATATTGGGCATAATCCTCATTTAATCGATTAAAAAACGTATTTTTTTTTTAATTCTTTATTATTAATTTCTTTTATTGAGTTCTGCTTTATAGTGACTCCCAATTTTATGTTTATTTTTCACATTTGCTTTATTTGTTTTGCTTTCATGATTGACATGCTGTCTTTTGTCCTTCGTTGGTTTACTGGCACTGTTGCTGATTATTCTTCCATGATTCTTCTTAACTGTGCTAGTAGTTGAAAATTTTGCTGGTTTTTCTGTGGGTCCATCAAAAATTGGTCTTGGAATATTTGTTGTCGTAATGAGCGGAACTTTCGTTGGTCTGAAGGGCATCCTCATCAATCGTCCATTCGATGTGTCGTTATTGAGTTTTGGTCTTAAACTTGCAACGAAAGGCCAAGTGAAAAGAATCTCTAATAAAATCAACAAATATAACCTCATTTTCGGTAGCCTTTGTTACTGTGGAGTATTCGAAACAAACTGAAATGTCAAATGTCATTTTCATTTGCTTTTATAGGGTCATTCATTTTGTGTGTAAAGTGCATTTGGTGCGAGCCAAACACTTGTATACACATTGGAAGAGATAGCGATTTAATGGGGAGCGGTTATCATTTACATCGTCATGTTTGCTTTAACAGTTAAAAATTATATCAAGAATGTAAATATTTAATCTATAGTGTCAATATTTTTGGATGCTGTTGATTTATGTTAAAATGTCATTTAAGAAGATATGTCAAAATTCCTGATCAAATGTTAGACATGTATGGGAAAATGAAAGTTATAATATTATTACGTCCTCAAAAAATATAATCTGCCAACTCAATATTTTTTATCTGGACATCAGAGTCCAATTGAAGACCAAAAATAGCAAGGCGCGTGTTCCGGTGTTTCCCCATCATTTATTCTTCTGCGATTATGGGTCTTTGAAGATTTGAAACTTTGATGCTGAGACAAATTTACAAAAGCGCTTATTAGTCAAACCCTCCACATCCAATTTTTCTGGGTACAACCATTTCATAATAAAAAATTGGTCTTTATCCTATCTAAATCTTAAAAACCAACAGTGACTTTAATATCAAATTTCAGAATGCAAGCTCTGCCCATTCACTCAACGGCAAATTTAGTGTCATTTAGTACTTTTCGTATGTTCATAGTCGGCATTTCCAAACCCACCTACTTCTCTCAACCACAGACATAACAAATTTCAGGATTCGCGCTATACCTATAACCAGCTCCTTCTCCCAACTACAGTCATCAACAGTGGCATCCATATCAAATTAAATTTCAGGATTCCAGCTCTATTTAATTTAGTATTTTTCGTACATATATTATATATATATCCAAAACCACCTCCATATCTCAATCCCAGATACCAACAGAGACTTTAATACTAAATTTCGGGATTTCAGCTCTATGCCATTACCTAATACCCAATTTAGTACCGGTTATTACTTAGTACTAGAACAATTATATTACAAAATTCCAAAACCACTTTCAAATTTTAACCACACCACCAACATTGATATCTATATCGAATTTCAGTTTTTTATTTAGTAGTTTTCGTGCAGTTATAGTACACATTTCCAAAACTACCTCTACATCTCAGTTCCAGATACCAAAATAAACCTAGATATCAAATTTTATTACATTTCAGTCATATCCCTTCACCCGATACCAAAATTGAGTACCATTTAATACTTATCGTACAAAGGTAAGACGAATTTTCCACTATACCACTAAATATCAAATTTCGGAGTTTTGTATCTATCCCTCCACTCAATAGCAAATAAGTATCAGTCGGTTTTGCCGACAGATTTATACCCTCAGCCAATGTTCGATTGCTTAAATATATATCTTTCGTAAATTAATATGATAAAAAATATTGCGACGTGCTATATTGGTTACTCCCTTCACTTTATATGAGATATGTAGGGCAGGTACTTAATAGAGTGGACCTATGTTGCCTATATTGTGTAGTAAAATATTTATTTGAAAATTTCGACCTTTTGTTGGGGGAGGTACTGGAAGGAGTGGACTGATATTGTCCATCTCCGAACTCGATCTATGTTTGATATTAATCTTATGATGTACCAAGTTTGGACCACATCGGATACTCCCTTGGAGAATTATCGTGGGC